TGTCCTGGAACTCACCATGTAGACCAGGCTGGCCTTGAACTCACAGAGATCCCCCTGCCTCTGCCTCCCAAGTGCTGGGACTACAGGCGTGCGCCACCACGCCTGGCTGTATTTTATTTTTATCTGATCATGTTACATGTATTTTTGTAAGCTTGGGCTCAAAACTTCAATGAACTAGAGAGTAAATAAGAACTTCAATAACCACAAAAACGAAGTAATAAATATGGGAAAAACTATGCACTACTTCTCCAGGTCTTGCTGGGCCTTAGGAAATCACATGGTTATCCAATTGCAATATTAAGAGTTAGGGTTTTTTGTTTTTGGTTGGGAATATAACTCAGTGGTAGAGTGCTTGCCTAGCACATATAAGGCCCTAAGTTCAATTCCCAGCTCTGGAAAAAAAGAGATAGTTTTGCATTTTGTTAATTTCATTGAAGACATCATCGGAAATGTTTGTTCTTTCAAAAAATTTTCAAAATTTATTTTTATTTAGACGTGTGCCTGCTTGTCTGAAAGTGCACCATTTGCGTGCAGTGCCAATGGACCAGAAGAGGGCATCAGGACTGCTGGAGTTACAGTCCATTGGGAGCTGCTGAATGTGGGTGGTGGGAACTGAATCTGGGTCTTCTGAAAGAGCAGCAGGTACTTTTAACCTCTGAGCCATCTCTCCAGCCCCTGTTCTGTCTTCTTGATGTTGATTTGCCACACTTGTATTTTGTCCTGTAAAGGGCCATAGTCATTTTTACCCCACTGGACCTTCTGACAGGCTCTTCCATGCTTTCTGAAGCTAGTGGATTGTGAGGCTCTTGTAGTTTTTCACCACCAAAAGTTCTTAACTTTATCCAAATTGTGTCCTTCCCATTCCAGAGAAAATGTACCGATGTGTCAATTTGTGACCTCACACAATGATTCAGTTAATGGCATTCCCCCTCCATTTCACCATGTCAAGCTCTAGTGGCTGATCAATCCACTGGGATTTGTTACACAAATCACCCTGGACCCTTTTTTGAAACTAGGTATGAGCTAAAGAGATTGAACATACTTCTTGAGAGGATATGATTCTGTTCACACACAACACAGTATTTCTATGTGCAGCCAGTCCGTAACTGAAGTTTCGTGCTTTAATAGATTACATTCTGCTTTAAGAAGTTGCTAATTTTCAGCCCAAGGTTTTGGATTCTGTCTTTTTCTCTTTTACCTAGCCACCTAGAGAGAAGATGGGTCAAGCCAATGGTTAGTCGGTGGGCACTGTAGGACAGTGGGTACAGATACACATGACAATAAGCCAGATGGACCCAGGTTGGAGTCCTACCTAGCTATGCTGTTACTTGGATGTAGGGTTTTGGACAAATTAATTTTCCTTTATGAGCCTTAGTTTCTATCTTCTGTTTAAAAATTATTTTATTATTGTATGTATGTGTATATGATGTGTGGAAGGGTGCCACAGTATATATGTCAGAGAACAAGTCTGTGGAGATAGAACCCACCTTTAGATGAGTTCCAGGGAGAAAACTCAGGTTGTTAGGTTTGCATCATCAGGTGGCAGCACCTTTACCAACTGAACCGCCTCTCCAGACTTCATTTTCTGTATAGGGTTTAGATAAGATAAAATGGGCTGGAGGTGTAGCTCAGTGTTAGAGTGCTTGATCTGAATGTGTGAAACTGCGGATTTTGAGCTCCAGCATTGCAAAAATAAATAAAACTAAAAATGCAAAGTATTAAACATAACCTTTCCGTAATAGATCGATCAGTAAATGTTAATATTACTAAAGAGATCATCTATTTTGAAAAACGTCAAAGCTTTGCGTACAAGGTGGTAGTGGACTTTGCATGGTACTTGGGTATCAAACTGGAGAGATCAGAGTTCCCACTTAGGTGGTTTTATTTGTTTTTCAAGTTCTCCCAATTCGATTTATAAAGATGATTAAGATTGCTTGAGATGTTCTGTATGAAATACACAAAAAATTCAATAAAAAAGAATCTGAAGGAAGCCAGGTTTCCTGCACCTGTGGGTTCAACCAAAATGACCAACAGACGTGTGCCTGAGCAAGTGGTCTACTTTCACATAGCACAGCCTCCCAGGAAATGGGTGGTTTGGGGGAACTCTCTGTGTCGAGATTGTGTGTGCAACCATGATTGTGATGCGCTTGCAAATGACTTATAGATATGGATGAGCTAGCAGCTGTCACTCAAATCATGGGTCCTGCTCTTGTGGTATTCATCCACTGATGAAATGTCTGTAATCCAGTCACAGAGGCCCTAGGGAGACATACAGCCCACTGTCATGGCCACTTCATTTGATGGGCTGCATCCATCCCAGAATACTTTGTGTGGTCTGCTTTCAAGAAGACCATTTGCCCATGAATCTTCAGACTGGTCTGATGAACCAGAGGGCAATCAGATGGTGAGAGACCCCCAAGGACACCTCTTTCTGAATTTGGCTTTGGCAAATTTAGCAAAAACAAAAACAAAACAAAAAACCCTTCCTGGCTCCCGTGGGCTCATATAAATCAATACTTGCTTAATCAAAACGAGAATATACTAGAAAATCATGATTAAGAAAGAGTATTTGCCATTAACACAGAGAAAGCATTTACTTTTCCCTAATTTTAAGGATTTAGAAATAGTGGGATTCATTCCAAAGTGAGGCAGTAAGACCAAAGTGTTTTTAAGAACATTAGAGCAGAGCATGGTGGCCCAAGGCTGTAATTGTAGCATTTGGGAGGCTGAGGCGGGAGGATTAACACAAGTCTGAAGCCAGCCTGGGATATAGTGTGAGACAAACAAAATTATATTCTGGGTATTAGCTGAGTCACACAGCACCTCAGTGAGTTATAGAGACTGGGTAAATGGATAGAGGAATGAAGGAAATGACAAGAAGAAATTAGAAAAAAAAAAAGGGACTCAGCAGATGTGGGTTGGTTCACAGTTTGAATGACCCTGGATAAGCTTTAAAATGAGCACCTCAGTTTCTCTTCTGGCAAACAGAAACATCTGCCACACTAGTTTATTATGAGCAAGAAATTAAATAACATAGCTAGAAAGATAGGGGTTGAAAAGCACCTGACAGTTATGAGAACTGGATGATAGATTAGTATCAATTTAACACAATATAATTCATCAAATATTTACTGAGCCCTTACCTCATATCCCTGGTGCTGGAATTGGATAAGGGTTGAATAAGGCAGGCAGGCTTGTCCCTGGGAGAGAGGAACTAGCATGGAAGCAGTCTCCGACTCTGCATCACAGGACTTTTATTTATTTTATATATATTCTCAATAGATTCCCTGAACTCTGTTATCCCAGTCCTTCTAATTTCTTCCTTCTGTCTTCCACCTATTCACTCAGGTCCCTGAGATTCATGGGAACTATGGTGTCTCAAGACACCATGTGATGTAGTAGGGAATTCTATTAGGGGAGAGAAACATGTAAACCAAAAATCCCAAAGCAAAGCATCATGCTAAATGCAACAAACAATTGTACATAGATTATGTGTAGAGAGAGTGAGGATGAACCACAAAGGGAGAATTAGGCTGAGATGCCTGGGCAATGGAGTAAGACCCTGTTTTAAAATAAAATAGAGATCTTGAGGGTGTAGTTCAACGATAGAGCCCTTGTGTAGCATTTGTGAGGTTCTGGCAGCAATCCCCCGTACCCCTTCCCTCCTCAGAAACAACAAACAAACAAACAAACACCAAAGCAAAAATAGAGAAAGGGCATTTCAAACACAGGAAACATCGCATGCCACACTGCTACCTGCAGGCTTCCATATTGACAAATCTTCTTAGCCTTTAAGGAATTCTGGGATTTCACCTTTTTCATGGCAGAAAATTTAAAGTTAGAGGATACCAAAGAGATAAATTGGATTTTCTGCAAGATGCTTGTTAGCTGGATGTGTCCATGCTAAGGCAGACAAAAATGTTTGGAAAGTCAAGTGTTATTTTTAGGGACTTGGCTAAAAACCTTCATCTTTTTGCCAGAGCTTGAAATCCTTCAGAAATATTTGCATGTATTAATTTACCAAGGTCACCAATACTTAGGGCATCCTGTGAGTCAGGTTCTGTATGCAGTCCAGCAGAGGGAGACAGATGCTAAATATAGGTACTCTGACTAGACTTAAAGATTTTGACTTGATGTTGCAGGATTGTACCTATCCAACCTTTCCGTTTTTCATTTTCAGTGCAGCGTTCAATATATTACCAACACTTTATTATAAAATGGGTGAGATGGCTTCACCTGACTAGGCTGGTAAGCCTTCCGAATGTTTAAGGTAGGCTAATGCATTTTGAACTTAACAAAATTGCCAATTTAGGATGGGTTTATACGGATATAACGCTACCCTAAGTGACATCCTAAGTCTAGTCTGGATTTGAAAATAGGTATGCACCTACCTGAATGGGGTGAATGAATGGGGGCAGAAAAATAGAAGCCCTTAGCTGGGTGTGGTGGTGCACATCTTTAGTCCCAGCACTCGGGAGACAGAGGCAGGTGGATCTCTGAATTCAAGGCCAGCCTGGCCTACATAGTTCCAGGCCAGCTATGGCTACAGTGAGACCCTGTCTCAAAAAGACCCCCTCCCCCAAAGGAAGAATAGAAGCCCTTTGAATGTGTGTGTGTGTGAGTGTGTGTGTGTGTGTGTGTGTGTGTGTGTGTGTGTGTGTGTGTAGGTCATGCAGAATGGAGGACCGGATTTACTTCCTAGCCAAAAGCAGCTTCCTGTTTCCTTATCCTGCTGTACTTTCTCCAACAGGTCACAAACGTTTTCAACTGCCAGATTTTCTTCGGCAGGAAAACAGGGTGGCCTCTCTTCACAGGCAGCTTTTCCCAGGCCTCTAAGTGGTGCTGAGCAGAGGGACAGAGAATGTAGGTCCCAGAGCTCACCAGAGGGTGCCAACTCCTACGTGGTAGGAAAGGGTGGCGGGAGGAGGAGCTGTCCACTATCTCCAGGGGTTGGGCTCTGAACAGCTGGGCGGGACTCAGACTATTGTATAAGAGGAGAGGCTCTGTCCCACCTGCAGCACTGACGCTGGGTCCCAGCTGCGACGCGGAGGTCACCAGCTCTTCTGCTTCTGCAATCAGATCCCAAGAGACTCGAGAAGAAAAGGTCTAATTTCTATATATTCGTGTATTTAGTTTTGGTGACTGGAAGGCTGGTGAGCATGAGGGCTATGTTGCCTGGGCGCCCTAGACATGCAGCACTTTTAGGGGATCTAGGGAGGGATCTAGCCTGTCCCACGCGAGCAGTTCCAAGCGCAAACTCAAGATTTTTCTCTCTCTTGCAGAAGCGCTTCTTCCCTGCTTGCCTGGCCCTAGCCATCTAGGATGCGGCTTCTCAGGAGACTCCGGTCGTCCGCTCCAGAGCCCACCTTCTCCAACGTGCTGACCCCGGGCCGCATCCCCGAGTTCTGCATCCCACGGCGGATGCCTTTGCCCTGCGTGCCCGAATCCCCGCTCCCAGCAGCGCTGCCCCGCCGCTGCGCCGCCGAACCCGACCTATGGCCCAGTAGGGCCGCCTACGACCGAGGCGAGGACCGCACCGACTGGGACCCGCGCTCGCAGGCCGCGCTCTCGCTGCCACACCTGCCCCGCGCGCGCACCACCTATGGCTTCTGCGCGCTGCTCGAGAGCCCGCACAC